ATACGTTTGAGACATGATAGAACCATTTTATTCTTAAGAGTTGTCTAAGATGTCTCTGTTGCAACTTGTTTAATGCGTTCATGTGTCGGCGGTACGGCACCCAGGTTTCGCTTCCATATAACATGGTGGGAATTATTATCGCTCGGTACACTGCAAGTTTCGTTTTTGTGCTCAAATCAAGATTGTAGGAAACCCTGTCTTTTAATTTCCAGAATGCTCTTGAGGCGCTGCTAATCCTGTGCTGAATTTCAGAGTCGATATTGGCCTTTCAAACAAATATCAAATAATCGTCAGACATTCTGGATATTTTGAAGTATTAATTCATTCTATTGATGTTTAGTCGATAACTTTACGAATTAAAGTTGAATGGCGGAATGATATTACACGTGAAATATTTAAATCCAAGCATATAAGAGTTGACAGCTACATTTCGAGAATTTTTTTGTTATTGTTTCCTGTAGAATTTCATTTATTATGAATGTGTTAGTTCTGTGATTCAACACGGTCAAAAAGTCGATATCTATAATGGTCAGAGGACTTTTAAAACTATATTTTTATGGCTGAACACTATTCACCTTGTTATTCAGACAAATATCGCTATCGATAGGTTCGCTTTTATGTATGGAAACGGTCGATTATTAGGTAAAATATAGGAGGTACCGCAAAAAGTTAAATACAAAAGTTATAGGATTTCTTAATATCTATTAGTGAGTAATAATGATAACTATACAGGGTCATTCATAAAGTCATGGCACATCAAAGTTTTATTTTTTTAAATAGAACCCCCTAATTATTATTATATATTTCAATTCTTCCTTCAATTCTAAGCAAAAACCGAAATATACACAATGTACTTCAAAGCAACCTGTTCCGAGTTATTGACTTTTGAAAATATCACTTAAACAATTCGATTTAATTAATTTCGATGTGTGTGGTTTGATTTAATGATGCCATTCTGCCGAAACTGTGATACTGTTGTAATGAGTTTTTAAATTCCGATTAGCTAGTAGTAAATATAAGTATACAGGATCGGTCATAAAGTTGTGTCACATCAAACTTAATTTTTTTTTAAATGAAACCCCCTGTATATTATTGCAATTTATTCAATTCTCCCTTCAATTTTAAACAATAATCTTAATACACAATGTACATAAACTGAAGAATTGAAATGCTAAACGAAAATTTTGTAATTTCCAGAGACTAGATATACTCTCATTTTATACATCTATAAATGCTTGAGAACTTGAGAACTAACGTCAAATATTATTAAGTATCACAGTTTCAGCAAATTGACATCGTTAAATGAAACTAAACATATCGAAATTAATTAAATCAAATTGTTTAAGTGATATTTTCAAAAGTCAATAACTCGGAAACGGTTGCTTTGAGGTACATTGTGTATGTTTCGATTTTTGCTTAGAATTGAAGGAAGAATTGAAATATGTAATAATATACAGGGGGATCCATTTAAAAAAATGAAACTTTGATGTGCCACGACTTTATGACCGACCCTGTATACTTAAATTTATTACCCAATAATAGATATTTATAAACTCTATACCTCTAATATTTAACTTTTTGCGGTACCTCCTATATTTTACCTAATAATATACCGACATATACCGACCGTTTACATACATAAAAGCGACCCTGTATATCTTATCTATTTAAACATGATTTATCAATAACATATTATGGTTAATATGTTAACACACTCAATAGATAATTTGATTAATAAAATATGTAATAACAGAGATATTCAAATATATTATAGATTTAAACTAACTTATAAAATTTGGTATATTATGTTCTACCTGAAAAGGAAAATATTACAATAATAAATGAAATTGTTTAAAGGTGCAAACCACCATAAAACGAGAGAAATAATTTATTAAGTCATACAGACTAGCTAATATAAAGTAACCGTCTGTATATTAGGAAACTTAGTAACGTTAATATTGACAGCTTCGAAGTTTTCTTTCAATAATAACATTATGTGACATGAATTAGAACTATTTTACGTCGAAGCAGTTTGTACGAATAGCATAAAATGTTTAACTTTTAGATGAATACTCTTTAAATGAAGGGATTCAAATGTATTAAAAAAGATATTCTACGATAAATCTTAAACATTTTTACATATTATATACATTGATATAATATATATAACTGTTAATTGTGACGCTGATAACTACTATAGCAACAATTAAATATAAATATATAGGATATTTCTATAAAGTCATACAATGATGTGTACATACTGATATGTATTGTGTGATCACCATGTGAACTGTCATGATAGTTTTAAAATTTGCCTACGAAAGTTTTTTAAAATAAAACTTGCTTAACAAAATATCTAAAAAAATGACAATTCTACTACAATATAGCAAGAATATGTTTAACAGCTTATACATGATAAAAAAAGTTAAACTAACCAATATACACACTACATTTATATGGATTCAACATATTCAAACAAAATGTAAGCTACCCGTTTGATTATCTACGGTTTCATTTGATCACAGACTTATAAATAGACTTCTGTTGAGATATTCCTTAACCAAGCCTGTATATCTTTCTTAAGGTTTGTGAGTTGTGTGAGATTATTTTTTTTAAGAAAACAGAAAAATGTTTGCTAGTAGTATAAAAACAAGAGGAATAAATTGATAAACCACAAAATAATGGTTCTATTATACCTACTGCTTCATCTTAACGAACTGTGAATGTTAAAAATTAAAAAAAATGTGATATTTAGGTCGAGTTTTTGCAATGAAAGTGAAGTAAATACTTGGTATCATTTATATCAAATTATGTATTTTTAACTTTGATAATATTTAAAAACAAAATAAGCTACTTTACACGAATTTGATAACTTTTATAATGTCATTCTTATGTATAAAGTTATATATACATAATTATTCAGGGTAGTGTCAAGGCCATGGATAATATAATAATATATAATTTTGTGGTATTTACTAAAGATTGATTTGAATCTTAACAATTCATACAAACTGTTTAAACGTAAAATATAAATCTAATAGAAGTAAAGCAATAGTATGTATACAAAACATCGATTTTAGAGTTAACCCAAACATATCATGAAATGCCATTGTAGAAGTTTAGGTTTAAGTTAGTTAAGTTTAACAGAGGGTAAACAAAAGTTTATGAAAATAACTCAAATATTATTTGATATTTCAATTACATATAAATGTATTTAGAAAATGTTAGGGACATAGTTAAAAAATGTGTTTAAGAAAGTAATATATTTGTTTATTCTATCGAATTTATTTTTTAAGAAAGAGTCCACAACTATAAGAAACATATCAAACCTAAAATACACATATCAAAATTGTGATTGAATAAGTTTGTAAAAATATATTGTATATATAATTAAAAGAAAATAGTGTTACCATATCAATTATTTATAGAAATATTAGATTTTTGAATGTGTACGTAGAATATATTGACATTTTACCCTTACATTGATTTAATCTATATGACATATAATCTATAATCGTTACTAGAAAAATTTAATAGGAAAATTTTGTTATATTTGCTTGTTGCAATTAGAATCTTTAGAAATCCACAAATTAATAATATAAACAGATAAATGATAAATAGATCAATGAAAATCATAAAGCATACTTCAAAACAATTCTAAGAAACCACTGATTCTTCTAAATTTATATCATATCAAATAACATCACAAAGACATTTTTGAAATATCGTACGTGCAGAGAAATATCTCGAGAAATACTTAATAATTTGTTATAGTTGTTATTATATTATACACTCACCGGTAAAAAAAACCGGCCACTAAAAACTAGTCCCAATTTCAAAGTTGGATTTCTCGCGAACCACTCATTAGATTTTGATTTTTTTTTAATTGTAAATTAATTCCTTCTTAATGGATGCTACTCAAAAATTTTTATTCCGAATTTATTTTGAACAAATAGAGAGCACAACAATAAGTCGATTTTTTTTACTCGAACTTTGTAACACCCTGTAGGGTGCAGTAGCTGTAGTAGCTATTGCTAAATCAAATCACATTGTAGCCGCATTTTTTGTGAGCATTTTGTATTTTTAATCACGACATTATCTCTGTTTGTATTGGAGATACGTTGCTGGCTGGTCCTTGTCGACCTAACCGCTGCCTACGACACCGTCAACCGCCGCAAAATGCTGTCAAAAGTATATAAAACAAGACTACTTAAATGAATGATTAATGATAAATAGAAATCAACAAACAGTCAATTATTCATAATCTATGAAGGAAAAAAGCCGCTGAGATCAAGAAAACGGACTAGACAGTAAGCGTGCTGGCCGATTTTGTTAATATCTCACACGACACACACCGGAAGAACAAACATTTGTATACGCTGAGAAATGGCA